CACAGCTATAACCAAGATATATGACACACAACTGCTTCACAATTCTTTCTTTGTCTTTCAAGATAACTTGTAATTGCTTGCATACTTGTTCTTCAGGTCATTCATGAACAAGGATTGCCAAATATGCCAAAAGTACATGGGAAGACTCCAAAGTAATTAAACCCCTGGTGAAGACTGAAATAAGGTTTTTCCATCTTTTATTTCTTCCAGAAAGAAAAGTCAAAGGTTAATGTTCTCTCACAGGAGAATACATATTTTCAAGTCTTTTCCAGCTGTGGATTTTAAATTATCATAAATAACTTTAAAATGAAGGAGACTTTGCTCTCCTCCAGTGTGCTCCTATCACACTGTATGTGCTGAGGCACAGTTTGAGGTGGCATGATGAATTCCAGATCTTAGAGCTGTGAGAACTTGCCCTCCAACTATCCACAAATGTGAGTCAATCAATCAGGCAGCTAAAGTGATTTCTCCATTAGTCATCATCTTTCAAAACTACAATGGGACTGTTCATAGTCAGCCTCCCCTCCATTGTACACAAGAGAGAGTAAACACTCTTAAGAGTACTCCCTTCTATCATTGGACAGTTGTGGGCCCACAGTGAGACTGTTTGCACAGGACAGGTTTCCATGATCATTAAGCTACAAAAACATTCCCAACGATATTCACTCTAGGACAGAAAATACATTTTCATCATGCATTAGGTTGAACATGTATAGGCCACGCCAGGAAATCTCTGTACCTGCTCATCATGACCGAGGACTCAGAAAGAAGTTCTAAGTTCTTATGAACACCCTGCAGTGATTTGAGTGAGTCAGGGATAAAATACGTATGTTTCCTTTAAAAATCAAACTCCTGCAAATCATCAAAGTAGATCAGATTCTTGAATGTGCAGTAGAAATGTTTAGGGAATAAATTTTAAAAGGCTAAGACCTGATGCAATTGCTTAAAAGTTGTAGTTGTCAGTTTATATGACCCCTTCAGTGCTTCTCATAAAATTGAAATATTTAGTCATTAATATTCGTAACCAACTTTCATTGTCAAGCTCAGTTTCTAAATGTCAAAGACTATCCAACAAGTTCCCAGATGTTTCCCACACCACATTGTATCATCATAGAAGTTCCCATGAATGGTGTCTTTAGTCAACAATTGGCCTGACCCATGGACATCTGCATAGAAGAGATACTGGGGAAGTAGATAGCAGATATAGACCATAGTTAAATGGAAAAGATAGCCTATTAGAGGAAAGGAAGAGCTAGTAAGCATAAACCAAGTAGAAAGAGAAGATAAAAAAATCTTAGGCATCCACCCACAAAATGGTGAATTAAAAAGAACACCTAGTTTTAGTCATACAGAGAGGTTCAAATTCCACCTCTGGTGCTGTGCCTAGTGATACCTCATACAAGGTGTGTATTCTAATTCCTTTTCTCATCTGAAAATAAAAATAATACTGTTTTCCCCATTGGATTGTAGTGTGTGTTCAATGTAGGAAATATATTGAAGTGCCTAGCACATAGTGAAGAGTGAAAAAATAATGCACCAGCTTTCTGTACACATGTGCATAAATTTTAAAGTCAGTACAGAGAAAAGCTTTGATCATTTCCCAAAACTTCCTGTATTCTTTTTTTTCCCATAAGCAGCATGGTCTTCCCAAAAATGACAAGGAAGTCAGTGGGTCCACACTGCACTTTCAGTAACACACATTCCCCAAGTCTGATTTCTTGTTCTGGATTGCATTTCCATTCCCACATGTACACGATTATGGAATCATTTCATCTCTTATAAAAGACAGCAGCTTTTCATTGCACATGGATGATAATGAATTCCAGTTTAAAACAGTTTAGATATCTTGGAAGGGAGAAAACACCAGAGAATAAGTTAAATAATTACATTTTATTAAGAGAGACTAGAATCAAAGGAAGTCCTAAGCTGCTTTTGATACTGGTATCATTCTTTCATCTCTGCAAAATTTTGTCAGTAGATTCGGGTCTAGTATATGTTTTTTCTGCACTTTCCCTATAGCTATTGATAGGTTTTCTATTTTGCTGTGATAGTTTTACTGTTATGCAATACTATTTGATTCTTAATTAAATTAATATCCTACCAAGTTTAGAATAAAACAATAGTTTAAATAATATGTTACTGAAATTACCTTAAATAGCCAGTACTCGATGATAGAACACGACCTGTGTGCCAAACAGTACACATGTGCTTTGTGTTCATTCTTTTGTTTCCTTGTAAGAGATCCGGGGACATCTTTCCACAGTTACCAATATTCGAAGAAGCCACTGAAAGTCCCCTCCTCACCGAAGTTGACTTGGACTAATTCTTTCTCATGATAGGTCACATCCACAGTCCATAAATCACAGCAGTTAAACCCTCAGTTATCAGCAAGTAACTGAGTTCACACCCAGAAGGTAATAATTGATAAATCTGAGCCATCAGATTCTTGGTGACCCTTGCTACGCTACCCCAGCTGCCAGCTGGGAGGTATAGAGCAGCTTTATAAGAAAGTGATGACAACAGTGTCCTAGCTATAGCCTTCCCTGCAGCAATGTTTGAAAGTGAAAGGGCATAACCTTTCACCTTTTAAATCTCTATGGTTTCTTCCCTACCAATAAGCTCCTCATTGTTTTCCAGCGGGGATACGCTGACTCCATTCTTTCTCTCTTAGGCCTTCACTGAATTCCTTCCACTATTTTTGCCCCAGCAGTTATAAAGACAACCGCACAATTTATTGGGCACCAATTATGAATGATGTGTTTGACATATATTTAACCTTCATGAAAATCTGTAATGATGAAAGCTCTGTTCGGAACATTTCATCACTACCTGGAACTAGAGTGCCAGCTCATGTTTATAGGAGGCCAAGGCCTGCGTATCACCTCCCACAGCACTGCTACTCCTCCTAGAAATGTCCACACCAGCTTCATCCCTTTCCTCACCAGGCCAGAACATGGGCCAGTTTTCCATGGCAAACGAACATTTGGAATTTTCACCATGAAGTTGTTTTACCACATGCAATTAAGTCTCTCCCATAGTTTTTGTATGACTAGAAGTATCTTCATATACAATTATTTACTGTCCCAGGTCATTTTCTGGAATATTTTCTTTGGGGACAAAGTGAAGGTCATTTAATTCAGAATGCTTAGAATCTCTGTGCTAAGAGGCAGAGAATTGATTAAGCATAGGATGGTCCCAAAGGGAGAAAGCCAGAAAGTGGAAGGAAAAGGAACACAGGGCTGGTTACAAGAAGTGAGCGATCAACAGGACCCTCTATTTTCAAACTGAATAAATAGGCATTTCTAATTAGTGACTAAGAAAACTTCCTTGATTAACTACCTAAATCTAAAGAACCAGGTCCCTTGCTTCTGTCTGGTTAGACTCTCTCCTGCCCCAGGACTTTTGTACATACTCTTCTCTCTGCCTGAACCACTCTTTCCAAGTTCTCATAGAACCAACTTTTCTCTCTGAGGACCTTACTCAAATGCCGTTTCCTTAGTGAGTCTTCCTTATATCTGTTGTAAAAATAGCAACAACACTTTCCCTGTCCCCGTCCTTTGCTTTTTATCACTTTGTTTCCTCCATTGCATTTGTTACTATCTTCTATAGTATAATTCACTTTTTTATTTTGCTTATTGTTACCCTCTCCCACTAGTAGAGAATCTCCATGAAGACAAGGAATACTGTTCCCTTCTGCATGCTGGTGCTCACACTGAACCTTCCATGCTGTAGGTAACCCTAAAGTGTTTACTGAATTAATGTGGGCATTTGAATATACGTCTCCTTCCACAGAAGCTTCCTTGCTGTGCAACTATTTGGTAACAATATATTCTGGGCAAAGTTGGAAGGTTTTTTGGTAGTGACTGAGCCCCACCACAACTTAGTGGGTTACCTTTTCCTTTATGCGTGGATCACAGGGACTATTCTTATTTCCGAACCAGACATTGCCCCTGGAGCTAGAAGCTGATTCTTAACCACGACAGGCCAGTACTAGGCCCTGAAAATAATATTCATGACCATGGCCTTGTTCACAGCTCTCCCGTTGTGATCAGCAGAGATGAGGTCACTTGCCTAAGCAACCAAAAAGTAGACTTTTCTCGGAATCAAGCACGAAAGGCTGAAATAACTATTTTAATTTGCTTTATAACTTTCAGATTAGAAAATGTTAGTCTCACAGAACCATAAATTAGAAGGTTGATTGTGCCCAAAAGGCTGATGATATCATCGCATTGCCCTGTTAACTCTTTTTAACTCAGGAGAAAGCTGATTTACGCTACCATTACCATGTGCTTTTGGTGCTATGTAGTGAACATTACTATCATTTTGCCATAAAAACCCTACGGGTCTTTCTTAACAACGTGTTTTGTTTGTTTTGTCTTGTGTTTGTTTGGGAGGGAAGGTGTTAAACTACTTTGTATACTTGGCTCCAAACGCAGTGAAAGAAACTTTTTTATTTTATTAGCACAAGTTTGTAGCTCTTTGTGTAGAGCTGATCCATGTATACAACACATTTCAATTCCTTTTTAAATCCCCTTTCCCTTCCCTGTGTCCTTTTTTCCTCCATCTCTTGAACCCTTCCCATTTGAGAAAGATCTGTCCTCCTGTTTCCTATTATCTATATTCAGTTTTGCTCTTTATTTATAATTTGGGTTTCTCATGTAAGAGAAGCTATGTGATAATTCAAGTTGTGTGTCTGATATATTTCACTTAATATTATGGTCTCGGGGTGCATTCACTTTCCAATAAATGGCTCAAGTTTATCTCTCCTTGTAACAGAGTAGTATTCCACTGTGTGAAATACATTTTCTTTATTCATCGATCTGCTGATGGACATATAAGCTGCCTCCAAGATTTGGCTTTTATGAATTGTGCTGCTACAAACGTGGGTATTCATGTTTCACTGTGATGTGATGTATTTAAGCATCATATCCCACTGGCCTTTCCCAGGAACAATTTACACTGGAATCTGCCTGTCAGGGTTAAATGTGGTATATACTTACAGCTCAGATTTCACAAGAAGGGAATGTATGGTGTGTCTCCAGGGAATGTCAAGCCCGTGTCTCTGACAGAAGACCTGAGAAAAATTAAACATGTGCAAAATTTTAGTTGTGTTTTATTACAAAGCAAACAGGAAGTTCAACATTAAATGCAACAGCACCCCATAAGCCTCAATCAGAAACACTTTTCATTTAACAGGACCATTGTAATGTTAAAGAAACCTCAAGAGATGGAAGAAATCCTAAAAGATATTTATTTTGAAAGTTTAATAAAACTACACAAAGGACAGGACCTCGGGGGGCAAACCCAGTTTTGCAAGCTGACTCAGCGTCTGGAGATCTTCCCAGCCGCCTCTTTAGAGCCCTGCAGCGGTGGTTTTTTTTTTTGTTTTTTTCTTTTTGTCCGGTAAATGAAGGCAGCTTTAGGGTATTCACAGGAAGCCAGCCAAAAAACAGGGAGGTTCTGATTGAAACTTGACCACACAACTCTAAGCAAACCCAAGTTCCTTATATGGCTACTTGGGAGAGACTAAATGCTATCCATTGCAGGAGAGGCCTTTACTCTGGCTTAGAACCCTGTGAATTTGAAGATAAGATAACCAAATACCTAATGGACACCAAGTGGTCCTCGGTGTGTACTCTGAAGATCACTCAGCTAGAATCAGGGGAACAGGGGAATCTTTGGGGATACATTTGTGAAAAATGAGAATCTTCAGGGCTTACCCTAGACCTACTGAATGCAGGAGCTCTAAAGGGACAGCCCTATGATCAAGAGGGTCCCCTTCCTTTTCAGATACTTGCTAAAGTGCAGGTCCAGTGTTAGGTGCAGTGGGTTTTTCCCTTAGCTGCACATGGAAAGACCCAGGAAGCTTTGAAATTGAAGCCACTTCTCACCTGCAGTAATGTCACTGAGTTGTTTGGCGATAGCCTCACCATCAGGATTTTTGATGATTTTCATTTTTAGATGATCCTGGCATTAAGACAAAGTAGAGAATTACTGCAGCAGAATCTCTTCCAAATAGTAGCCTTTTCCTTTTAATAGTGTAAACATAAAACATGAATCATAAGATAGCCATGATCAAATAGGTTTGCTTTTATAACATTTCCCCCAAATTACTAAGAAACTGAAATTATTTTCTGATTACATCAGGTAACACAAAGACTCAGGACTAAAGTAGCTCAAAACACTAAGGTGTGGTTATGATCTTTTAGATAAGAAATATTTGTGCAGAAAGTTTAGGCTTCACAATATCTGGAGATAAATTAGACATAGAAAATTCACAGATCTGTTAGAATCTTTCTTTGCTCCTCCAAAGTTGGCAAAAAAATTAAGTGAAACATTGAAATCTGTAGACATTTTCAGACATCATTCAATTTGTTTTAAAACTGTAATTATTTTACTTACAGCAAAAGAGTGCCAGGGGCCAATAATAATAGTCAGTACTAATTGACCCCTTACAATGTGTTAGGCACTGTATGAAGCATTTAAAAAGCATTATCTCATTTATTCCTGTGTGATACATATGATTATTACCTCATTTTACAGAAAAGAAAATTGACACTTAATGAGTTAAATGCACTGGATTTTAAGAGCTTCAAAGCCCACTTTCTCAGTCACCGTAGATTGAAGTGAGAAACCAGTAGTCATCCAGTAGTGGTAACAAACATCAAAATAAAAAGATATTTACTTCTGTCCAAAAAGTGATTCTTCTGTCATACCTGATTACCCCACTATGGTGAATGGGTTCCTATCTCTGAAGTTTCAAATGTTCTTGTAAGTATAGGAAACCTAAAATTGTTTCTGTGTCTCTTACCTCCCCTGAGGGTTGCTAGAGACCAATTTGTCATGGAAGGTACATTTGGTTTTTAAACTACAGACCAACTCTCAGATGGATCTCATAATCTGGAGGGATGAAAGACTTTGTTTAGAAACTGCAAAGAAAAGCTCAGAGATTCATAGTGAGAATAAGGCACAAAATAGCATAGACTAAAGGTCATGTTCCTGTTCAGTGAGAAGCCAAGCTCCCAAGTCTGTGCGTTCTGTGATAGTCTCATTACTCCTTTTCCTGAAATAGATCCTTGTCTTATTATGCACTTACAGGATAGAATCCTTTTCAAGGCATTTTCACAAATGCTTTTTTTTTCTAGTATGGTCAAGTTTTTTTTTTGGTATCAGGAATTGAACTCATGACCTCGTGCTTGCTAGGCAGGTGCTGTGCCTCTAACCTATATCCCTGGCCCATGGTCAAGTTATTTTTTCATTTTCAATTTTAAATGCCAACCGGGAGTGGTGGTGCACACCTGTAAGCCCAGCACTCGGGAGGCTGAGGCAGGAGGATCACTGCGAGTTTGAGACCAGCCTGGGCTACAAAGTAACCTCAAGGCCAGACTGAACTGTATAGCAAGACCCTGTCTCAAAAAGACAAAAAATAAATAAATAAATAAATAAATAAATTTTAAATGCCATGAAGGAGTGGGCAAGACTTTTAAAAAGAAAAGTGCTAGTATCTGAGGACTGGTGACTCTTCAGTCACCTTGGGAAAAGAAGAAAATCCGCATGTCTCTTGTTTATAAACTGTCCACGTAATTATGATTAGTTTAGGACTGCTCCTGCCAATGAGACAATAGTAACTATTCAAATAGAAGGTAATTATTCCAGTAGCACTTTCACCTTTGGAGTCACATCAGATACCTGGGGTCACATCCTGAAATCATTTCCTTTCACCAGTTAAAATCCCCGTGTCCCCCTATCACAGGCGATGCTGGGAAGTTAAAAAATGAAAAACTGGAGCTCATGCTCTCTAGCTCAGTACCTTCAAGTAATGTTTTATTAATAATTTCCTCAAAATAGTGGATTGACAACTGGTGGGCAATTTATAACCCCCATCTGAACTGAGCAAGCGTGGTGCTGGGTGTGGGACGCCATCTGAGGGTTGTTGACAGCAGCATAAGAGGCAGAAATGGAGAAGTGAGGCTGTTGGGAGCAGAGAAAGGCTGTTGGGAGCTGGTAGAAACTATAAGGAGCTATTAATTCTCCTGGAGGAGCTTGTCATGCTGGCTTTCCTGATGAACTTGGCTGTTTTCATCCTGAGGAGCTTGGGACCTTGTTGTTACTGAGAATAGCTTCAGTTCACTTTGGGGGAGCTCTGGTCCTCACTCTGAGCTCACTTCCGGGCTCAGGAGGGGAAGAAGGTTCACAGTTCAGTCTCGAAGAAACTTGTCGCATTGGCTTTCCTGATGGGAACTCAGCTCTCCTGATTATTAGAGGAGCTCGGGACCTCACTGTTGCTGAGGATGGCTGTGGTAATTTTCAGGGAGCTCTGGTTCTTCTGAGCATCGCTTCCTGGCTCCAGTGCAGACCCCTCAGCCTGCTAGCACAGATCCTTCATCTGCTAGCACAGACTTACTAGATTCCACCACTGACCTTTGGGGCTTCTCAGCACAGATCTGTGCAACAGGCCTGCATGTGATATTGTTACTGGCTGTAGGCCTCCAGCTGGACTTGTGGGAGGCATTGTTATGAGTTCTAGGTCTTCAGCTGGTCTCATACAGGACCTTATCACAGGATCCAGGCCCTCAGCTAGATTTCTTAGTCCTAAGTATGTGGACAGATTTCCTGCACTCTCTTGTATATGATTCTTTGGGTGACCATTATAAATCATCTTATAAACTATGTGTCCTGTATGATATTGTTTCCCCTTGTAAAATAATCCCCAAACCAGCACATCTCTTTTACCAAATGAATAGCCTTCAGGTAAGAATAGGGGGAGGAAGAGGGAGAAGCATTTGCTGATTTCTGGAGTCACATCCTGAAATCACTTCTTTTCACCAGTTATTTGTAGCCCAAGATGAAAAGTCAGGAGTCCTGATTTCTTGTTCCTTTTTCCACTTTGGACCCAATGCGGTCTGAACAAGTTTCTGCCTCCCCGGGCTGCTCCTCTACTCTCAAAAAGTGGAGATAATGATACAGTGTTTCAGTCACTTAATCCTAGTGATGAGGTTTGAGTTAATAGTGTTTAGAAAGGGAAAAAGTCTTTGAGCTTGGATCAAAGGTACGGGTAATTACAACACTTTATCATAAACAGTAAGGAGCCTTCTGCTCTTCATGCCTGGGGAACAAATTATTCCCCCTTTGGCCTGCGTTAATAGTTGGACCAAGAGTGTTAATTAGTGTAATGGTGTATGTAATAAACAGTATCCAGGGACCTAAAGGAGTTAATCAAGCCCCCAAAGGTGACTAATATACCTGCACCCTTCCCCCACTAGGATCTTGTCTATTTTTATTAGTGTAGCATAACTATACCCTTATACAGGCCTTTTGGGGCCCATTTGGCTTCCTGAAATTCAATGAATAGAATATAAGGGATTTGAAAGTGCTACTTGAATAATTACCTTCTATTTGAATAGTTACTATTGGCTCACTGGCAGGAGCAGTCCTAAACTAATCATAATTACCTGGCCAGTTTATAAACTGGTGCTGGCTGCTATGTCACTGTTAACATAATTTTAAGTCTGATCTATTAACCGCTCCAACATTTTTGCATTTTCATTGATGCACTATGCTCCCTATTCCTTCCACTGACCCAAAACTTCTCAGAGCACAGAAATCACCAAGATCCTAGCTAAACCAACTAGATCCAGCCCCTCCCTATCAGTCTGTTTCCATCAGACAGTGCCATAAGCAATTAGGAGTTTAACGCATGGTGATTATCACAGAAATAGCTACAGTTTTAATTGTAATTTAATTGGTACGAAGCACCCCCGCCACTCACCTTGATCCCTCTTTCATCAGAAATATCAATATCAGTTACTATCAAGTGTTACAACTACATCAGTTAATTGCTTTTCCAAGTAGAAATGAGAGGATCCTGATACACAGCTGGCAAACCATCTGACCTTTACCAACAAATATATCACTTATTTATTGTAACATATCATGAATGGCATCTGGGCTTATGAGTAAGACAAGCATATATGTCATGTTGAACAACTGTTTTAGTATGTATCAGGCTTGTGGTTCTGCAACACACCGAAGAATGAAGTCATGAACCAAAGATGGAGGTTAGGAACGTTGTGGGGGAACTAAGAAGAGGAGCACAGCTCCTGGGTTTATAGAAGGGGGTACATCCGGGCTGTCACATGACCCTATAATTTAGAATTATTAATAGGTAAGCAGGGAGCAGGAATTACCTTATTGTTTAGTGGACCCCTATCACAAGTGGCACTGGGAAGCTAAAAAATGACGAATTGGAGCTCATGCTCTCTAGCTCAGGACCTTCAAGTAATGTTTTAGTTATAATTCCGTCAAAATAGTTGAGAAGGGGTGGGCTGTATTTTATGTTACAAAGACAGTTCATTGTGTTTCACATTTCTCAAAACTGAGGAGCTCAATAGGTGGCGACACCTCTGTTTAAGGGAGAGGGGCTACATTTCATGTTTTCTGAGGAATGTTTGCTCCTAGTCAGAGTTGTAATTTATTGTTTATTTTTATTTTAATTCCCACTAATACAGCTAAGTTTTACACTATCTCTGGCCTTTCTCCTAGTTAGCTGCCTCAGTTATATTCGAACTAAATAAGCTATCTTCTATACAACCTAACCATGAATTGCACACACAATAATGTTCTTAGCTCATCTTCCCAGGCAGCTGGAGTCACCTCAGCAATCATCTCATCCAGATTTATATTATACAAATACAGGAGCCAAAGTCCAGAAGTGTGAGTGGCTTGGAAAAGATCACTGTGATCCACCCAAGGCTCTTGCCACTAATGAAAATGAGGTGTGGAAGAGCAAAACTCTTGATTTAAAGACAACTCCAATCAATTAAGAAGATTTTTAGGGATCAAATAGAAAAATCGCCTAAGAGTAACACTAACTTCATGCAAATCAAATTGAAAGATTGCTCCAAACTACAATACCAGCCCTTGTCTAATCTGGAGCTGAATTTTATTTTTTCTTTAGCATAAACTAA